GGGGGGGGTGGGCACACTCAAAGGAAGGGCTGCTAAGGGGCGGCCGTGGGTCCGCGGCCGCCGCCGGGCCGAGGACCCCGGGTGGGTGGCGCGTCGGTGTCACCTGTGGCACGAGCATGGAGCCCTCCGGGATGTCCACCTCGCGCGTGACTGTGAAGCGAGGGCCTACGTTGTAGCCCAGCCACGCGCCTGAGGGCGGGGTAGGGGGGTGATGAGAAGGTCGTTTCGTAGGGAGATTGCAGGGAGGACAGCCACCACAACAGCCATGACAACCGTGCTGGCAATGGCTGGGGTGGAGTTGCCAACACAGAGTAGAGCTGCGTACATGCCACGTCTCAGCCCACAGGGCACGTCGCAAACCATATTCACCTGCGAGAGCGCCGGCCAGCTGCGCGGCATCGTCAATAGCCAGGGGGCCGTTGCCCGGCAGCAGGCCCAGCAGCAGCGCGCAGCCCCCGAGGGCGGCAGCACCCCAGGGGGAGCCGATCTGGCGCAGTGAGGGGTGTGGGGGTGTGCAGACAGGTGGTGCGGGTTATGGGCTGCGCCAAACTGGACCCATATTGCAAGGATGAGAGGCGGTGTGCGCAGCGGGCAGGCCCACGCCTGCCGCGTGCAGCCGCGCGCCAACGTCTGCCCCCGTCCGCGCGTCCCACCCCACTACCCCTCCCTGCCACACAGGCGCTGCGTGCTGCGTGCAGGCGCCAGCAGTGCGGCCCCACCTGGTTGCTGCCCCCGCGCCCCAGCTCCCCGTGCGCCTTGAGCTCCTTGTTGGCCGCCTCGTAGCCCGCCATGGCGCCAATCACGCCCAGCAGGGCACCCGTGGCGCCGGCCGTGGCGACGTCGGCGCCAAACAGGAGGCTGGTGGCGGCGGCGGTGAGGCCGGACAGGAAGTATATGGACAGGAAAGGAAAGTGGCCCTGCAGTTTATGGGGTGTATTGAGAGTACAGTGTTGGTCAAGATGCGCATGGCGGAGACAGCGTGCGCTTTCTCGGACGCACCACTCGGCACCGGGCCCGCCATGACACAACAGCTGGCAGGACAGTCGCACAGTGGCAGGGACGCGTACGAGCGGAGCCCCTGCAGCCTGCAGTCCCAGAACGCAGGTGGACCGGATGGGCGAGCCGGGAATAGTCCTGGCCCCGCGGCTACCCCGCCCTGTGGCCCCAGGCGCGCCCCACCAGCAGAGCCTCTGCGTCAGGCCCGAGGTATGCCAGGGCAAAGGTGTCCAGAGCCAGGTGGGGCATGCCGCTGCAGGGTGGGCAGTGAAGGGGTGGGGGTGGTTGAACTGAAGGCTTGAAGAAGAGAGGGCCCTGCACTGGGCGCACACGGCGGCTGGCCTGCACACGCATTACACTCAGCAAAGCCGCTGTGTGCGGGGCGCAGCGATGTTGTGTCCAGCACTCCAGCCCCAGACCGGCGCTGCCCCAGCCTGGCTAACGCATCATCAAGGCTCACTTGTGCAGCAGCAGGCAGCTGCCCAGCCGCCACCACTCGCTGTCGCCCGCCGTTGACAGCACCGCCGATGGCTGCAGCGCCAGCTCCATCGCCATCGCCATAGACGCCTCGGCACCCTGCACGTGCAGAGGGGCGATTGTCCCCTAGGTCGGCGCGTCCAGCCCGGCCGCACGCCACACCCACATCAGCCCAATGCCGACGCGTCCTGGAAAACCCTGGGGGCATGGCCGTTTCACCTGCGGCGCTGCGTGTGCATCTGTCTTGAACCCCCACCCCTTCCCCCAGAAGGTCCCCGCGGGCACCCCCCCTCGTTGGCTACCATGGCCGCACCTGCGTGGCGCCTATCCACGTCCCCACTGCGTACACGCTCAGCTGCGCAGCCAGCAGTAGGTAGCAGAACAGGGGCTCCACCTGCAGAGGCGTACGGCCGCGCGGTGGCAGACAGACAAGGGTGGGTGCAGAGGATTCACAGCCATGCCGCCCTGCATTGCGCTGGGGTTGCTGTGCAACACACCCGCGGTGAGCTAGCTTGCCGCTGCAAAATCTGTGATACACGCCCGCTGATGAGTAGCTGGGTGAGCCAGGCATGCGTGCCGCGTTACAAGCAGTCGCTGCGGGCTGTGCCGCTTCTGACGCGCAGCATAATCGCCGTGCTCTCAACCCTAGAGAAGCCTGATGCTCTTGTGGCCTTTATCGGGATTTTGACGAACACAGCGAAGCTTTGAAGGCCAATTGAGACCGCGGGGCCGTGGGCTTTGGGGCAAGCTCTCAACATCCACCCACACCTGTGGCAAGTCCAGCTGGCTGCCCACAGCGGTGGTGCGCCCAGTGCGTGTGGAGCCGGCAAAACCAATGACGGTCTCTGCATGTGTGGAGGCATGTGTGTATGTGTGTTAATAGGTTACCGACATATGCAGCCCTGGCTTTTGTGTGTAGGTGTCTGCATCAAAGGTGTGCCCACGCAGAGCATGGAAGCAGATGTACAAGAAAAGCACAGCCTAGCAGACAGGTGTTGCACGCACCACGGACATGCACCGCCTGCATGGCATGTGTTCTCGCAGAGCGCAGCCATGCCTTGCACCACAGCCGCTACCCTCTCACCATTGATGAACCGCCCCTCCCCCTTGGCCATGAGGCCCTGCCGCGGCGGCGCAGACTGCGATGGCTTCACCTTCCACCAAATCTGGAGGTCATCCTGCTGCTCTTGGCCGCTGCTGCTGGCGTCTGTGGAGGCAGCGGCACCCAAGTGAGTGCATCGTGCCTCCGGCCGCATGGGCTGGCATAGATCAGGGCCTGGGCGCGGCGGGATACTGTGTAGATGCAAGGTGCAGCATCACGCCCGCCGCGGTGCCACTGCACTCACCATCTCCAATCCCCAGGGCATCCAGCGTGTCGAGAGCCTCATCTGACTTTCGTGCACGTGTCCTGTGCCCTGCTTTGACACGCATGGCCACTGTGGAGGGCGCCCTCAGGAGTCTGAGGGTCCCATCACAGCGACGAGTGAGCTGCTGTGTCCGCATCGGTGCTGGTGAGGCGGTATATGGATACTGTATGCGCTTTTTGTGTGGAACACTTGTTGAAAGCGGGTCCTCTTGACGAGATCCGCGGTAGCACGGCACGTCGTTTTTATAGGCAGTGGATCAGCCGCGGGCAGCCAGAATAATTTTTTTCGCAAAGATTCAAAATGCATACATCGTACATCTGCGCGACTCACGGGGTGCAGGTGTGCGACGCGCCCCGCTCGCGCTGTGCCCGCTCCCGTCGAGCAAGATCCTGCACTCACACTTGAAATTGACCGGGCGACCTTCATGTGTGCGGCAAATGGAGTTCAAAAGGACAAGTGATTATGCAAGCTTGTTAGCCTTGATTGTCATGTCGTACCTCCCCTGTGCTTTCGGTACGGTAGTGTACAGCATCGTGCAGTTTGTTGGCAGTGGAGACCTGCCCCCACAGCTCTTGGGGTGGGCCATGTGGCACTGGGTCAGAGGTTTTGGGCACATCAACAACATTCAGTCTCAGTGCTTTCAAGTTTGTTGCACAGTGCACGGTAATAATGGCCAAGCTGGGAGCGGGTGACAGCGTGTCATAAGCGCAAGTGCCATGCGGTGTTTGGGTGGGGGTTGCAGCAATAGTGTCCCTGAGGACTCACTTTCTATCAAACGCCACTGCAGAATCTGGTGATCAGGCGGGCAGGACCACCAACAAGCAGGTGGTAACCTCGCTCACGCTGACCAGGTGCCGACATGCATGTGCGCTGTGGCTTGACCGCTGAACCCACCAAGCACGCCGTGATCCAGACCAGGCGCGATGAACCCATAAGAGAGCGCTTCATCAGACAATCGCAAGCAAAATGGTATGCTGAAACGAGGCACCAGATCGCCGAGCTGGCGTGGTTTGTCCGACAGCCCAGGCCGTTTACAACATCTATTTGTATATCTGCTTCCCTTGCATGATAGAAGCGTAGCCGCAGCTGCCGCCCGCATCGCAGGCCAGGGCGACCCCGCCATCGCAGCTCCAGGCGGCCACAGCGCAGCACACAAGCGCGAGCGCCTGTGGCGCCTGCTTCCAGAGCCTCAGGCCATTGACCCCGTGCTGCCGCCAGTGCCTGTTACACCGCAGCCAGCACCGCTGCTGGCCGTGCGCGGCACCGAGCAGCAGTCACATTCACTGTCTGCGTACGAGCCGCTGCCCCCTCACGCGGCAGAAGCGCCCATCGAAGCGCGGGAAGCAGCAGCCGCAGCCCCTGGGGATGGCCGGGACGGGGAAAGCGGTGAGGTAGGCAGTGTGAGCAGCAACACGGTCGAGGCCGCAACCGGCTTGCGGGCGACAGGCTCAAGCCGTGCCGCGACCCAGCCGCATGCGGGCGTGTTCTTCCGCAGCCGCGGTGATTCCCTGCGGCGGCTGCGGCCGCGCCAGCTTGCGTGGCTTTCGAGCGCGGCGCGGCCCCCGACAGGCCGCGGTGCAGCGGCCTCCGCTGTCGCAGCAGGCGCCGGCGGCGCTGCCACGTTCGACCGTGATGTAACAGAGCGTGGAGACAAGGGGACTGGAGCAGCTGCGTCCTCACCATACAGATACACTGTGGCAGAGGGCCGCATCGTGACCGTGGCGGAGCAGCGGCGCAGCGAACCGCAGCTGCAGCAGCCGCAGCAGGGGCCGAAGCAAGCGCGGCTGGCGCCACCAGCGGATGGCGAGGCCGCGGTGGCCACGAGTCTCGCAGAGGACATCCGGCTGCTGTTGGAGGGCGCGGATGAGGACTCAGGGCCGCGGGCGGCCCCTCCCCTATCTGGCAAGGCCCGCGGGCGCGGCGTTGGCGGTGACAGCGGCAGGGGCCCCGCTGCCCAGGGAGCAGGCGGGGCCCAGGCAGCAGCGGTGGCAGGCAGCGCTGCTGCGGACGGCGTGGTCCTGCGGGTGTTCACGTACTGTGTGCCACGCACGCTTCTGCGACGCCTGCTGTGGGAGGCCGGGCTGCCGCCTGGATGCCTCGAGTTTTCGGAGACAGTCGAGGGGTCTGATTTCGTGCTTCACCTCAAGCCGGCGCCTGGAGAACGGCAGTACGCGTACGACGAGGTGGGTGCTGTATATGACCGATCCTATATTTTAGAATTGAAAGCGGCCAAGGAGGCGACTCGCATGGCTATGGCTGTAGCCTTGAGGCCAGGGGCCGTGGGGAGGCAGAGCGCGCCCGTCAAGAGGATGGGCTGAGCCACATGCACCTACACACACCAGTTGCAGGGGATTTGAGCGTCAGCGTACCTTGCCAGTCGCGCCGCTCACTGCAGCAGGCTGCACTTTGCGGCTCTTGGCAGCTCCAGCATCAGAAGCGTCCCGCACCAAACTCACACTCACACCACCCCCCTCCTGATCAATGCCGCGCAGCTGCGGGCGCAGGCGCGCGCCTCAGGCGTGCCATGGCTGACACTGCGCAGCCTCACAGCCTCAGATCTGCTGGAGCGCCTGGAGCGCGCCAGGAAGCTGCTTGCTGAGGCCGGGAAGCGCGGTCGCGGCGACCTAGGAGGAGTGGTCCTCACACGCGGGCGGCGGGGCCCGGGTTGGGGGCGTGGTGTGGGGAGGCGGCCGGGGCGACGGCGGTGACCCAAGCTTCACATAGTGTGCACGGTCGCATGCCCTGGAGGTTACAAAGCTCTGTAAAACCGTCGTATTGCCAAGGCTTCAGGAAACGCGTGCATAATTGATTGCAACACAAGCGCTGAACAGCAAGCGTACAGAGTGTCAAGCCAGTTTAGGCCTCACACGGCCGAGATGGTTGCCATCTAGCCCTCTGCAATTTGTTGTTGCGTGGGCAGCAGCTGGGTCAAAGAGTGCGAGGGCACTCGTAGAGGCGCCTCCGACGTAGCCGCCGTCGCTGGCAACAAAAATCACATGTCTACACCTTGACCCACAGCTGCAGCGAGCCAGGAAGCGCTATCACAGCCGCCGCGGGCCTCCTTTCAGCCGCCGCCTTGCCGCTGCGCATTGAACATAAGCCTCGGCCGCTGCAGCACGCGGCGTTGCCCGCTGGAAGCGGCTGGCATCCACGCTGCCGGCGAACCGTGCTAGGCCGGGGACCGCCGCTGTTTGCAGGCCGCCTCGTCAGTGAGACTTGGAGTACATGTCGCGCGCAATGTCAGCCTCCATCTGCCCGGGGGCTATGTTCTTGGCGTAAAACACCGCCCCCAGGAAGCCGCAGAACGCCAGGCTGCTGGCCAGGCGGATGCCCTTGGGGGCGAGCTTCACTGGTGGGTCGACCAACACGCGCTTGATGATGGGGTCCATGGTGCTGCTGCACTGAAGCGCCTGCCGCTGCTGCTGACTACAGCTGTGTCGATTCCTCTGTTGCTGTGAGAAGTCCGTTGATATCCTTTCGCGGCACTGCGCGTGGCGAGAAGCGCGCGGCGCGCGCTCAATGAGGCGCAGCAGCACTGCGGGTGACTATGCGCAGGATGACCGCAGCCCTGACAGCAAAGTCGCAGTTGTGTCAGCAGTTGTTAATCGTAAGCTGGCGTGGCTCAGGCTTGTGTGCTGAAGACATGATCTGCTGGACCCCAGCCAAGACCCACGCGTTAACTCACCAACGGCTTCTCGTAGATCTGCAGGTGTGTATTCCCCTCGCTGTGCTCAAGCACAGGACGAGAGCTACACAGCACCGGCCCTACGCCTTGGCAAGCAGACTGTGCAAGCCTGGACGTTGCAATTGCGTGTCGCTTTATAGGCAAGCACTATGTACAAGTACGGAACTAGTCGAGTCATCATTTGGCGCGAGCAGCAAGCGGCCATCAAGCGGCTGGCAAGCAGCGACTGCTGCCGGTGGCGAGGTGGGGCAGAAGCGAGCGCTGAGTGACGCTGCCCACCAGTGCTTGCGATGCATTCCATGTCGGCGGCTTGCAAGAAACCTGCAAAGTCTGTGTTGGTTCAACACCGTTCTGTGATCAGGTGCTGGATGGTGTTGACCAGCAACATTGGTCAACCGGTGCCCGTCCCAACCTGTTGGCCCACTGAGCGAGCCACAAGTGGGAGCCTGCGTGCATTGATGTAAGCGCAGGCGCATGTCGCATGTCATATGAGTGCATCCCAGCAGCAGGCTTGGCCCGTACTTGATAGCCGGCAACGCAAGCTTGAAATGTGTGGTCACTCAACTGCGCAACCGCCTGCAAAACAGGGACACCCCTCATGAGCCCTGTTGGATGTCTGGACTCACACCTTGTGGGTGGCCAAAACCTGTAGCCAACACGTTTATGTCGAAGCCCTGGTAGCTGAATCCTGATGCCTCACTGTGCTTCCTATCATCATTCCTCACGCACGAGCTACTGCACGCACTGCGATGCAACCCAGCGATGACAGCGCAGTGATGGCGGCCACGGTACAAGGGTGTCGTGTGCAAGCCTCCACTGGGCTTTGTTCTATACCCTTGAGTGTATGCAGCACCCTTGCTGCCCGTCTTCAGTGATTGTGATAATGTCAGCATGCATGGACACCCGCCACTCGCATGTGCCGTGTTGGCAGTGGCACAACGCCACGGCCCCTTTTGAGACACTGCCAGCCGCCCAGCGCGCTCAGGCATTGAGGCTTCTGGAGGGCAAGAGC